CACACCTTTCTTAATTTTAAACCATTCAGTGTTCCCATGTTCTGTTCAAACAACTGCCTCTTGGTCCAGGTACAGATTCCTCATGAGCACAATTGGGACGCTCAGGAATACTCCACAATCTTGTCCATAGCTTGTCATGACCCACAGAATTGAAAGCCTTTGCATAGTCAATAAAGCACAGGCAAACATCTTTTTGGTACTCTCTGGTTTCAGCCAAGATCCATTGGACATCAGCAATGATATTTCCCATTCCACATCCTCTTCTGAATCCAGCTTGAACCTCTGGAAGTTCTCTGTCAATGTATGCTTGCAGCCATTTCTGTATTACCTGTAGTAAAACTTTACTCACATGGGATATCAAATTGTCTGGTGATTTCCACATTCCATTAGGTCACTGGCTTTTATAAGTTGGAATCATCTCAATGGCAGTGGGTTTGCTTTGTTTTGCTTTGTTGTTGTTGTGAAGTGTCGTTGAGTCGGTTCCGACCCATAGCGACCCTGTATAGGATTTCCGAGGAGCAACGGGTGAACCTAAACTGCCAACCTTGCAGTTCAAACAGCTATGCAGTCTGGCATATTAATCACAGCACCACACCGCCATCTAAAAGGCTCTAAATTATGAGATAGGGTGAAAAAAGGAAGTGATCCATGTAGAACATCCTGAATTTGGAACATGATGGGTTTAAGATGCAGAATTTGTTGTTAGCTAATGAAGAGATGATTACTGTGAAGGTCATTTCAAAAATTTCTAGACTATCAATGTTGATGGCAGGGCTCAATGATTAGGAGTAGAGGAAGCACTCAATAATGATAGTCACAAAGAAAAGGGACTTTGTGTTCTCTTAGTTTTCCAGCACTACTTCAGAATGACATTACTGAATAATCCAAGTGTGTAAGTATGCGTGTGTGTGTGTGTGTGTGTGTGTGTGTGTGTGGTATATAACAAACCAGTTGCTGTTTAGATGACTGCAACTCATGGCAACCCTGTGTGTGACAGAGTAGAAGTGTGTTCTTCCGAGGTGCTACTGGGTGGACTATTCTCTTTCAGTTAGCAGCATTACACTTGTACCACCCATAGATGTGCAAAGGAGGTAGAAATAGTCCCAACAATAACTGAGATTAAATATCTCAGATAAACAGGAGTATAAAATCTTTAACAACTACACTACCAGAGCAAGTAGCTGGGTTCTATGAAGAAAAACGTGGCGTCAGGATTGGAGGAAGACTCATTAACAACCTGCGATATGCAGATGATACAACCTTGCTTGCTAAAAGTGAAGAGGACTTAAAACATTTACTG